GGTTTTGTAAAGACGACTTTCTATTGAGACAATCCTCTTTCTGAGGTTAGTTCTTTCATCTTGCTGTGAACTCTTAGGGTTACTAGTCTTTAGGGGTCTTAAGGTCATCTTACATCTTATTGTACCGTAACCCTGAAGTCAATCAAACACATAAAATCCAAAGGCATCTTAATCTTCAAGTCTTTGAGGTGTTCATTCTTGGTTGTGGTGGAGCGTCTCTCGAGCGGGGCCATAAATAACCTTTACTTTGATATTACTATATCACAACCAAATTTCACGATTCGCAACTATATAAAAACTTGAAAAAGACAAAAAACAGTAAAAAATTTCGCGTTTAAAACAAAAACATAAAATACATTTTATCAAAATAAATTTTATGAGTTTAAATACATAGGGCTAAGTAAATAAAACAACTTAAATCATTAAATAGCTAAAGGTCTCCTTTTATACCTAACCAATAACCTACAAAAAAAAAAAAAAAAAAAAAAAAAATTCAAAAGATTGTCAGTTATAAAAAAGTAGGGAGTCGAATCTCATAATTTAACCCACAATTCTCTATCCGAATTTCTCTTCCTTTCTTCCTTCCTTACCTACATAACCATCAAACTCAAAAAATCCAAAAGATTCTTCATTATCTAACATATATTCCTCCATTTACGATACTAAAAGAATCTTTTTCTTTTTTAAGTAAGAATATTATCTCATTTAATTCTTCTTGGAAACTCATCGACTGTTATAAGAAAGTATCGTGCTTCCTCACCACAATATTTTATCCACTTGCTTCAAATTAAACCTTAATCGACAATAATACCTCAAACATTATTGTCGATCCAAAAAAGGAAAGAAATCATCAATTAAAAATTGAAGTTCAATCTCATACTTCAAAGCAAGGTTCTTGTATCCTAAGTCATCACTCTTCCATCCTCTCGTACATAACCATTGAACTAAAAAATTTCAAAAGATTTGTCACTTGGGAGTCCAATCTCATACTTTAACCCAACGTTCTCATCTCTAAACTTACCTTCTTTCCTTCCTTCAATACATAGACCGATCAAAAAATCCAAAAGATAATCCGTTATCTGACTTGTAAACAAAATACAATTTAACCTTTCTTTAGAATCAATTAAGCAAATTCTTTTCAACCAAATACAAACCACTTTTAGTGATTCCTTATTCCCTAATTCCAACAACTCCTCATTTTTCATTTGTACTTTGATTCAATTTCATTCCTACTTCCTATGGCATATGACATATTATTCCTTGATCCGAACAATTTTTCAATTTTCAATTGTCTATTCCAACATATATTCCTTTATTTACCACACTAAATTGATTGTTTTCCTTTTTATATAAGGATATCATTTCATATAATTCTTCGAAAAAATTCATAGACCGCTCTAACTTATAAACTTATCTTTCTTCCTTCCCTACCTACTTTAAACCAAAATTTGTATCCAAATTTAAATTTCTTCCATCCTTTCATACATAACCATTAAACTTAGAAACTTCAAAAGATTGTCTATTATCAAAATATTACGACTCCAATCTCATATTTTAACCCACAATTCTCATATCCAAACTTATTTACCCTTCTTTCTTTACATACATAACCAACAAACTCAAAAGATCCAAAAGATTTTCCCCCTCTTAAAAACTTTCTGTCTTTGAAAGTTCACTTTTCTTACTATGCCTTGGGGGAGTACTTGGTCTTAATTATGTCTTTCATAGTTCCTTGAGGATCCTTGCATGGGTTTGTCCTTTTCCGACATGTTTTTCTAACTTTCCCTTGTGACCTTTGTCCTGCCTTAAGGCCATGTACTTATTATGTTATTTACTTATTTTGGCGTTTGTTCTTCTTGACTATCTTCTTAACATCCTAGGTTGAGATTACGCGTCTTTCTTCGTCATCCTTGTGTTTTTATTTATATCTTGGAGCATATTTCCTTCCTTGTATTTCCTTCCTTGTACCCAACAAGATTTGACATAATCAACATTTTTTCTTCAAGGTTGTATCTTAGAGACTTCCTTGGTTCTTTTTTGTACAAGACATATTGGTGGGTTGTTAGGGTCCTAAATCCTTATTTGCTTCTTTCATTGGAGTAAATACTATTTTTTTTTCAAACCCTTCTCAAAGGCTTGAATCCTTATAATTTCTTGCTAGGGCATTGAAAATCTCTTTCTTTGGCCCATTAACTTTCCTTGGGTATCTTAATCCTTTTTTTTTTTTTTGATCCCTTAAACCATTTTTGGGTACCTTAAACTTACCTGAGTATCTTAATCATACTTGGGCTCTTACAAATTCTCCCCCTCTTAAAAACTTTAATCATCGAAAGTTCACTTTTTTTACCATGTTTTGAGGGAGTACTTGGTCTTAGTTATGTCCTTCCAAGTTCCTTGAGGATCCTTGCATGAGTTTGCCATTTTCCGACATGTTTCTCTAATTTTCCCTTATGGCCTTTTGTCCTGCTTTTAAGCCCATGTACTTATTCTAGTATTTACTTATTCTGGTATTTGTTTTTCTTGATGTTGAGATTACAAGTCTTTTTTGGTCATCCTTGTATTTTTTCTTATATCTTGGAACATATTTCCTTCCCGGTACCCACCAAGTTTTGACATAATCAACCTTGTTCCTTCAAGGTTGTATCTTAAAGATTTCTCTTGTTCCATCTTTTACAAGGTTTATTAGTGAGTACATAGGGTCTTAAGTCCTTCTTTCCTCCTCTCCTTGGAGAAATACTATTTCTTTTTCAAAGGCTTAAATCCTTATAGTTCCTTGCTAGGGCATTGAAAATATCTTCCTTATGCCCATTAACCTTCTTGGGGTCTCTTATTCTTTTTTTTTTTTTTTTATCCTTTAAACCTTTATGGGGCATCTTAAACTTACCTGAGTATCTTAATCTTACTTGGGCTCTTACAAATTCTCCCCCTCTTAAAAACTTTCGGCCTTGAAAGTTCACTTTTCTTACCATGCCTTGAGGGAGTTCTTAGTCTTAGTTATGTCCTTCAAAGTTCCTTGAGGATCCTTGCATGGGCTGTCCTTCTCCGACATGTTTTTCTAATTTGCCTTTGTGGCCTTTTGTCCTGTCTTAAGGTCATGTACTTATTATGGTATTTGTTGTTCTTGACTGTCTTCTTAACATCCTTTATTGAGATTACAAGATTTTTATTAGTATCCTTGTGTTTTTCTTTATATCTTGGGGCATATTTCCTTCGTTGTACCCAACCAGTTTTGACATAATCAACCTTGTTCCTTCAAGGTTGTATCTCAGAGTCTTCTCTTGTTCCTTATTGTACAAGACTTATTGGTGGGTTCTTAGGGTCTTTAATCCTTCATTCCTTGGACTAAATACTATTTCTTTTTCAAACCTTTTTCTCAAAGGCTTGAAATCCTTATAATCCCTTGTTAGGGCATTGAAAATCTTTTCCTTTGGTCCATTAACCTTCTTTGGGTCTCTTAATCCTTTTTTAGATACATTAATCCTTTCTTGAGCACCTTAAACTTACTCGAGTATCTTAATCTTACTTGGTCACTTACAAGTTCTTCCACTCTTAAAAACGTTCATTCTCGAAAATTAAATTTTCTTACCATGCCTAGGGGGAGTTCTTGGTCTTAGTTATGTCCTTCTAGGTACATTGAGGGTTCCCTTGCAGAGGTTTGTCCTTCTCCGACATGTTTTTCAAAATTGCCCTTGTGGCCTTTTGTCCTACCTTAAGGCCATGTACTTATTTTGGTATTTGTTCTTCTTGACTATCTTTTTAACATCCTTTGTTGAGATTACAAGTCTTTCTTGGTCATCTTTATGTTGTTCCTTATATCTTGGAGCATATTTCCTTTCATGTACCCAACAATTTTTCCATAATCAACCTGGTTCCTTCAAGGTTACATATTAGAGACTTCTCTTGTTCCTTCTTGAACCAGGCTTAGGGTCTTAAGACTTTTCCTTGGAGTAAATGCTATCTCTTTTTCAAACTTTTTTCAAAGGCTTGAATCCTTACGATTTTTTTAGTGCATTGAAAATCTCTTCCTTTGGCCAATTAACCATCCTTGGGGTTTTTAATTTTTTTAGGATCCCTTAATCCTTTCTTGGACACCCTAAACTTACTCTTACTTGGTCTCTTACCTATTCTCTTCTTCTTAAAAACTTTTGTCCTTGAAAGCTTACTTTTCTTATCATGCCTTAGTGGAGTTCTTGGTGTTAGTTATGTCCCTTCCAAGTACATTAAGGGTCCCCTTGCATGGCTTTGTCCTTCCCTGACATGTTTTTCCAATTTGTCCTTGTGGCCTTTTGTCCTACAGCCATGTACTTATTTTGGTACAGCCATGTACTTATTTTAGTATTTGTTCTTCTGGATTGTTTTTTCAACATCATTGAGATTACAAGTCTTTCTTGGTCATCTTTATGTTGTTCCTTATATCTTGGAGCATATTTCCTTCCATGTACCCAACAAGTTTTGCCATAATCAACCTTGTTCCTTCAAAGTTGCATCTTAGAGACTTCTTTTGTTCCTTCATGTACAAGGTTTATTGGTGGGCTCTTAGGGTCTTAAGTCCTACTTTCCTTCTTTCCTTGGCCTAAATACTATTTCGTTTTTAAATATTTTTCAAAGGCTTGAAATCCTTACAATTCCTTGCTAGGGCATTGAAAATCTTTTCCTTTGGCTCATTAACATTCCTTGGGTCTGTTAATCCTTTTTTTGGATCCATTAATCCTTACGAATTTGGCACCTTAAATTTACCCGAGTATCTTAATCTTATTTAGTCTTTAACAAATTTGTTCCCACTTAAAAACTTTCGGCCTCGAAAGTTCACTTTTCTTACCATGCCTTGGGGGAGTTCTGGGTCTTAGTTATGTTCTTCCAAGTTCCTTGGGGTCCTTGCATGGATTTGTCCTTCTCTGACATATTTTTCAAATTTTTCCTTGTGGCCTTTTGTCCTTCTCTGACATATTCTAGTATTTGTTCTTCTTGACGGTCTTCTTAATATTCTTTGTTGTCATGTACTTATTCTAGTATTTGTTCTTCTTGACGGTCTTCTTAATATTCTTTGTTGAGATTACAAGTTTTTCTCGATCGTCCTTGTGTTTTTCCTTATATCTTGAAGCATACTTTCTTCCTTGTATCCCAACAAGTTTTGACATAATCAACCTTGTTTCTTCATGGTTGTATCTTAAAGAATTCTCTGGTTCCTTCTTATACAAGGCTTATGGGTGGATTCTTAGAGTCTTGAGTCTTTTTCTTCTTTCCGGGTAGTAAATACTATTTCTTTTTCAAACCTTTTTCAAAGGCTTGAATCCTTATAAATTCTTTAGGGCATTAAAAATTTCTTCCTTCGACCAATTAACCATCCTTCGTCTTTTAATCTTTTTTTTTTTATCCCTTAATCCTTGCTTAGACACCCTAAACTTACTCGAAGATCTTTTGTCCTCGAAAGTTCACTTTTCATACCATGCCTTGGGGGAGTTCTTGGTCTTAGTTATGTCCTTCGAAGTACCTTGAGGGTCCTTTTGTAGGGGTTTGTCCTTCTCCGACATGTTTTTTCCAATTTTCCCTTGTGGCCTTTTGTCCTACTTTAAGGTCATGTACTTATTCTGATATTTGTTCTTCTTGACTGTCTTTTAACATCCTTTGTTGAGATTTAAAGCCTTTCTTGATCATCTTTATGTTGTTCCTTATATCTTGGGAGCATATTTCCTTCCTTGTACCAAAAAAGTATTGTCATAATCAACCTTGTCCCTTCAAGGTTTTATCTTAGAGAATTCTCTTGTTCCTTCTTCTACCAGGCTTATTGGTGAATTCCTAGAGTCTTAATCTTTTCCTTCGTAGGAGTAAATACTATTTCTTTTTCGAACCTTTTCTAAAAGCTTGAATCCTTATAATTCCTTTAGGGCATTAAAAATCTCTTCCATTGGTCAATTAACCATCCTTGGTCTTTTAATCTTTTTTTTTTTTTTTGATCCCTTAGTCCTATCTTGGACAAACTAAACTTACCCAAAGATCTCTTCATCTTACTTGGTCTCTTACATATTCTCCCCATCTTAAAAACTTGTCCTCAAAAGTTCACTTTTCTAACCATGCCTTGAGGGAGTTCTTGGTCTTAGTTATGTACTTCAAAGTTCCTTGAGGGTCCCCTTGCAGGTGTTTGTCCTTCTCCAACATAATTTTCCAATTTGCCCTTTTGGCCTTTTGTCCTACCTTAAGGCCATGTACTTATTTTGGTATTTGTTCTTCTTGACTGTCTTTTTAACATCTTTTGTTGAGATTACAAGTCTTTATTCGTCATCTTTATGTTGTTCCTTATGTCTTGGAGCATATTTCCTTCCTTGTACCCAACAAGTTTTGCCATAATCAACCTTGTCCCTTCAAGGTTGCATCTTAGGGACTTCTTTTGTTCATTCTCAAACAAGGCTAATTGGTGGGCTCTTAGGGTCTTAAGTCCTTTCCTTGGGAGTAAATGCTATTTCTTTTTCAAACCTTTTTTAAAGGCTTGAATCCTTATAATTCCTTTAGGGCATTGACAATCTCTTCCTTTGACCAATTAACCATCCTTGTGTCTTTTAATCTATTATTTAGATCCCTTAATCCTTTCTTGGACACCCAAAACATACCCGAAGATCTCTTCATCTTACTTGGTCTCTTACAAATTCTCCACCTCTTAAAACTTTCGTCCTTGAAAGTTCACTTTTCTTACCATGCCTTGGGGAGTTCTTGGTCTTAGTTATGTCCTTCCAAGTACCTTGAAGGTCACCTTGCAAGGGTTAATCCTTCTCCGACATGTTTTTCCAATTGCCCTTATGGCCTTTTTAACTACCTTAAGGCCACAAACTTCTACCGGTATTTGTAATTCTTGACTGTCTTTTCAACATCCTTCGTTGAGATTACAATAAGTCTTTCTTGGTCATTTTTATGTTGTTCCTTATATCTTGGAGAATATTTCCTTCTTTGTACCCAACAAGTCTTGCCATAATCAACCTTGTTCCTTCAAGGTTGCATATTAGAGACTTCTCTTACTCTTTCATGAACAAAGCTTATTGGCGGGCTCTTAGGGGTCTTAAGTCCTTTCATGGACTAAGTACTATTTCTTTTTCAAACCTTTTTCAAAGTCTTGAATCCTTATAATTTCTTTAAGGCATTGAAAATCTCTTTATTTGGCAAATTAACCATCCTGAGGTCTTTTAATTTTTTTTTTTTTTTTTTTTGATCCCTTGATCCTTTCTTGTACACCCTCAACCTTCAAGGTTGCATCTTAGAGACCTCACTTTGATCCTTCTTGAACAAGGCTAATTAGTGGGCTTTTACGGTCTTAAGTAATTTCCTTGGGAGTAAATGCTATTTCTTTTTCAAACTTTTTCCAAAGGCTTGAATCCTTATCGTTCCTTTAGGGCATTGACAATCTCTTCCTTTGGTCAATTAACCATTCTTGTGTCTTTTAATTTTTTTTTTTTGGATCCCTTAATCTTTTCTTGGACGCAATAAACTTACTCGAAGACATCTTCATCTTACTTGGTCTCTTACAAATTTTCCCGCTCTTAGATACTTCTGTAATCGAAAGTTCACTTTTTTACCATGGCTTGGGCGAGTTCTTAGTCTTAGTTATGTCCTTCCAAGTACCTTGAGGGTTTCCTTGCAAGGGTATGTCCTTCTCCAACGTGTTTTTCAAATTTGTCCTTGAGGCCTTTTGTCCTACCTTAAACCCATGTACTTATTCTCGTATTTGTTTTTCTTGATAGTCTTTTCAACATCCTTGGTTAAAATTACAAGTCTTTCTTAGTCAATCTTATGTTGTTCCTTATATCTTGGAGCATATTTCCTTCCTTGTACCCAACAAGTTTTTCCATAATCAACCTTGTTCCTTCGAGGTATATCATAGAGACTTCTCTTGTTCTTTCTTGAACAAGGCTTATTGGTGGGCTCTTAGGGTCTCTAAGTCCTTTACTTGGGAGTAAATGCTATTTCTTTTTCAGAGGCTTGAATCCTTATCATTCCTTTAAGGCATTGACAATCTCTTCCTTCGGCCAATTAACCATTCTCGAGTCTTTTAATCATTTTTTTGGATCCCTTAATCCATTATTGGACACCCTAAACTTACTTGAAGATCTCTTCATCTTACTTGGTCTTTTACAAATTCCCCCATCTTAAAAACTTTCATCCTTGAAAGTTCACTTTTCTTACCATGGCTTGGGGGAGTTCTTGGTCTTAGTGATGTCCTTCCAAGTACCTTGAGAGTCCCCTTGCAAGGGTATGTTCTTCTCCGACATGTTTTTCCAATTTGTCCTTGAGGCCTTTTGTCCTACCTTAAACACATGTACTTATTCTCGTATTTGTTTTTCTTGATAGTCTTTTCAACATCCTTTGTTAAAATTACAAGTCTTTCTTGGTCAATCTTATGTTGTTCCTTATATTTTAGGAGCATATTTCCTTCCTTGTACCCAACAAGTTTTGCCATAATCAACCTTGTTCCTTCAAGGATGCATCTTAGAGACTTCTCTTGTTCCTTCTTGAACAAGGCTAATTGGTGGGCTCTTAGGGTCTTATGTCATTTCCTTGGGAGTAAATGTTGTTTCTTTTTCAAACGCTTGAATCCTCATTATTCCTTTAAGGCATTAACAATCTCTTCCTTCGGCCAATTAACCACCATTCTTGTGTCTTTTAAAACTTTTTTTTTGCTCCCTTAATCCTTTCCTCGACACCCTAAACTTACTCGGAGATCTCTTCATCTCACTTGGTCTCTTACAAATTCTACCCCTCTTAAAAACTTTCATCCTTGAAAGTTCACTTTTCTTACCATGACTCGGGGGAGTTCTTGGTCTTAGTTATGTCCTTCCAAGTACCATGAGGGTCCCCTTGCAAGGGTATGTCCTCCTCCGACATGTTTTTACAATTTGCCCTTGTGGCCTTTTGTCCTACCTTAAGTCCATGTACTTATTCTCGTATTTGTTTTTCTTGAAAGTCTTTTAACATCCTTTGTTGAGATTACAAGTCTTTCTTGGTCATTTTTATGTTCTTCCTTATATCTTGGAACATATTTCCTTCCTTGTACCTAACAAGTTTTGCCATAATCAACCTTGTTCCTTCAAGGTTGCATCTTAGAGACTTCTCTTGTTCCTTCTTGAACCATGCTAATTGGTGGGCTCTTAGGGTCTTATGTCCTTTCCTTGGGAGTAAATGCTGTTTCTTTTTCAAACGCTTGAATCCTAATTATTCCTTTAAGGCATTAACAATCTCTTCCTTCGGCCAATTAACCACCATTCTTGTGTCTTTTAAAACTTTTTTTTGGATCCCTTAATCCTTTCCTCGACACCCTAAACTTACTCGAAGATCTCTTCATCTTACTTGGTCTCTTACAAATTCTACCCCTCTTAAAAACTTTCATACTTGAAAGTTCACTTTTCTTACCATGACTTGGGAGAGTTCTTGGTCTTAGTTATGTCCTTCCAAGTACCTTGAGGGTCCCCTTGCAAGGTTATGTCCTTCTCCGACATGTTTTTCCAATTTTCCCTTGTGGCCTTTTGTCCAATCTTAAGACAATGTACTTATTCTGGTATTTTCTTTTCTTGACCGTCTTTTGAACATCATTTGTTGAGATTACAAGTCTTTCTTGGTCATTTTTATGTTCTTCCTTATATCTTGGAGCATATTTCCTTCCTTGTACCCAACAAGTTTTGCCAAAATCAACCTTGTTCCTACAAGGATGCATCATAGAGACTTCTCTTGTTCCTTCTTGAACAAGGCTAATTGGTGGGCTATTGGGGTCTAAGTCCTTTCCTTCGGAGTAAATGCTATTTCTTTTTCAAAGGCTTGAATCCTTATCATTCCTTTAGGGCATTGACAATCTCTTCCTTTGGCCAATTAACCATTCTTGTGCCTTTTAATCCTTTTTTTGGATCCCTTAATCCTTTCTTGGACACTCTAAACTTACTCGAAGATCTCTTCATCTTACTTGGTCTCTTACAAATTCTACCCCTCTTAAAAACTTTCATCCTTGAAAGTTCACTTTTCTTACCATGACTTGGGGGAGTTCTTGGTCTTAGTTATGCCCTTCCAAGTACCTTGAGGGTCCCCTTGCAAGGGTATGTCCTTCTCCGACATGTTTTTCCAATTTTCCCTTGTGGCCTTTTGTCCAATCTTAAGACAATGTACTTATTCTAGTATTTGCTTTTCTTGACCGTCTTTTCAACATCCTTTGTTGAGATTACAAGTCTTAAATTGTCATTTTTATGTTCTTCCTTATATCTTGGAGCATAATTCCTTCCTTGTACCCAACAAGTTTTACCATAATCAACCTTGTTCCTTCAAGGTTGCATATCTTAGAAACTTCTCTTGTTCCTTCTTGAACAAGGCTAATTGGTGGGCTCTTGGGGTCTTAAGTCCTTTCCTTCGGAGTAAATGCTATTTCTTTTTCAAAGGCTTGATCCTTATCATTCCTTTAGGGCATTGACAATCTCTTCCTTTGGCCAATTAACCATTCTTGTGTCTTTTAATCCTTTTTTTGGATCCCTTAATCCTTTCTTAGACACCCTAAACTTACTCGAAGATCTCTTCATCTTACTTGGTCTTTTACAAATTCTCCCCCTCTTAAAAACTTTCATCCTTGAAAGTTCACTTTTCTTACCATGGCTTGGGGGAGTTCTTGGTCTTTGTTGTGTCCTTCCAAGTACCTTGAGGGTCTCCTTGCAAGGGTATGTCCTTCTCGGACATGTTTTTCCAATTTTCCCTTGTGACCTTTTATCCTATCTTAAGACATTGTACTTATTCTGGTATTTGCTCTTCTTGACTGTCTTTTCATCAACAAAAAGTCTTTCTTGGTCATCTTTATGTTATTCCTTATATCTTGGAGCATATTTCCTTCCTTGTACCCAACAAGTTTTAACATAATCAAACTTGTTCCTTCAAGGTTGCATCTTAGAGACTTCTCTTGTTCCTTCTTGAACAAGACTAATTGGTGGGCTCTTGGGGTCTTAAGTCCTTTCCTTCGAATGCTATTTCTTTTTCAAAGGCTTGTATCCTTATCATTCCTTTAGGGCATTGACAATCTCTTCCTTTTGGCAATTAAACATTCTTGTGTCTTTTAATATTTGTTTTTTCGATCCCTTAATCCTTTCTTAGACATGCTAAACTTACCTGAAGATCTCTTCATCTTACTAGGTCTCTTACAAATTCTCCCCCTCTTAAAATCATTTGTACTCGAAAGTTCACTTTTCTTACCACGGCTTGGGGGAGTTCTTGGTCTTAGTTATGTCCTTTCAAGTACCTTGAGGGTCCCCTTGCAAGGGTATGTCCTTCTCCGACATGTTTTTCCAATTTTCCCTTGTGGCCTTTTGTCCTACCTTAAGGCCATGTACTTATTCTTGTATTTGTTCTTCTTGAAAGTCTTTCAACATCCTTTGTTGAGATTACAAGTCTTTCTTTCCGAAAACAAAAAAAAGGGTAGGTGCAGAGACTCAATGGAAGCTGTTCTAACAAATGGTCATTTTTATGTTCTTCCTTATATCTTGGAGCATAGTCTTTCTTGGTCATTTTTATGTTCTTCCTTATATCTTGGAGCATATTTCCTTCCTTGTACCCAACAAGTTTTGCCAAAATCAACCTTTTGTTCCTACAAGGATGCATCATAGAGACTTCTCTTGTTCCTTCTTGAACAAGGCTAATTGGTGGGCTCTTAGGGTCTTAAGTCCTTTCCTTGGGAATAAATGCTATTTCTTTTTCAAACCTTTTTCGAAGGTCTGAATCCTTATCATTCCTTTAAGATATTGACAATCTCTTCCTTTGGCCAATTAACCATTCTTGTGTCTTTTAATCGCTTTTTTGGATCCCTTAATCCTTTTTTGGACACCCTAAACTTACTCGAAGATCTCTTCATCTATCTTACTTGGTCATTTACAAATTCTCCCCTCTTAAAAAATTTTGTCCTCGAAAGTTCATTTTTCTTACCATGGCTTGGGGGAGTTCTTGGTCTTGGTTATGTCATTCCAAGTACCTTGAGGGTCCCCTTGCAAGGGTATGTCCTTCTCCGACGTTCTTTTCCAATTTTCCCTTGTGGCCTTTTGTCCTACCTTAAGGCCATGTACTTATTCTCGTATTTGTTCTTCTTGAAAGTCTTTCAACATCCTTTGTTGAGATTATAAGTCTTTCTTGGTCATTTTTATGTTCTTCCTTATATCTTGGAACATATTTTCTTCCTTGTACCCAACAAGTTTTGCCATAATCAACCTTGTTCCTTCAAGGTTGCATCATAGAGACTTCTCTTCTTCCTTCTTGAACAAGGCTAATTGGTGGGCTTTAGGGTCCTAAGTCCTTTCCTAGGGAGTAAATGCTATTTCTTTTTCAAAGGCTTGAATCTTTATCATTCCTTTTTTTAGATCCCTTAATTCTTTATTGGACACCCTAAACTTACTCGAAGATCTCTTCATCTTACTTGATCTTTTACAAATTCTCCCCCTCTTAAAAACTTTCATTCTTGAAAGTTCACTTTTCTTACCCTGGCTTGGGGGAGTTCCTGGTCTTAGTTATGTCCTTCCAAGTACCTTGAGGGTCCCCTTGCAGGGGTTCGTCCTTCTCCGACATGTTTTTCTAATTTGCCCATGTGACCTTTTGTCTTGCCTTAAGGCTTATTCTGGTATTTGTTCTTCTTGACAGCATTCTTAACATCTTTTGTTGAGATCACAAGTTTTTCTTGGTCATCTTGTGTTATTTCTTATATCTTGGAGCATATTTCTTTCCTTGTACCCACTAAGTTTTGACATAATCAACCTTGTTCCTTCAAAGTGGCATCTAAGTGACTTCTGTTGTTCCTTCTTGTACAAAGCTTATTGGTGGGTTCTTTGGTTCTTAAGTCTTTTCCATCTTTCCTGGGAGTAAATACTATTTCTTTTCCAATCCATTTTTAAAGGCTTTAATCCTTATAATTCCTTGCTAGGGCATTGAAAATCTCTTCCTCGGTCCCATTAACCTTATTTGGGTCTCTTAATCCTTTTTTTGGATTCCTTAGTCGTTTTTGTTTATTCCTTAATCCTTTCTTGGGCACCTTAAATTTACCCAAGTATCTTTTACAAATTTTCTCCGTTTTAAAAACGTTCATCCTCGAAAGTTTACTTTTCTTACCATGCCTTGGAGGAGTTCTTGGTCTTACTTATGTCCTTCCAAGTTCCTTGAGGATCCTTGCATGGGCTTGTTCTTCTCCGACATATTTTTCTAATTTTCCCTTGTTTTTTCTTGCCTTATTCTGGTATTTGTTTTTCCTGACTGTCTTCTTGACATCGTTTGTTGAGATTACAAGTCTTTTTTGCTCATCTTTGTGTTTTTTCTTATATCTTAGAGCGCATTTCCTTCGTTGTTCCCAACAAATTTTGACATAAACAACCTTGTTCCTTCAAAGTTGTATATTAGAGATTTCTTTTGTTCCTTCTTGTACAAGGCTTATCGGTGGTTCTTAGGGTCTTAAGTCCTTTCCGTCTTTCCTTATTTTCTTAGAGTAAATACTATTTCTTTTTCAAAGGCTTGAATCCTTATAATTCATTGCTAGGGCATTGAAAATCTCCTTTGGCCCATTGACCTTTCTACCGTCTCTTAATCCTTTTTTTATATCCCTTAATCCTTTTTTGGGCACCTTAAACTTACTCGAGTATCTCTTAATCGTATTTGATCTCTTACAAATTCTCCCCCTCTTAAAAACTTTTGTCCTTGAATGCTCACTTTTCTTACCATGCCTTAAGGTAGTTCTTGATCTTAGTTATGTCCTTCCAAGTTCCTTGAGGGTCCTTGCATGGGTTTGTCCTCCTTCCACACGTTTTTCTAATTTTCCCTTATGGCCTTTTGTCCTTCCTTAAGGCCACATACTTATTCTGGTATATTTTTCTTTCTTGATCGTCTTTTAAACATCTTTTGTTGAGCTTACAAGTCTTTCTTGGTCATCCTTGTGTTTTTTCCTTATAGCTTAGAGCATATTTCATTTCTTGTACCCAACAAGTTTTGACATAATCCACTTTGTTCCTTCAAGGTTGTATCTTAGAGACTTCTCTTGTTCCTTCTTATACCAGGCTTAGTGGGTTCTTAGGGTCTCAAGTCCTTCTTTCCTTGGTGTTACTAGGTTTCGTAATCCTTGAAACAACTCTTCGCCTTGTAAAGATTGCTTTCTCTTGAGACCATCCTTTTTATGAGGGCCTAATGTCTTAGTTCTTTCATCTTGGTGTTATGAACTCTTGGGGTTACTACTTGTCCTCGGGGTCAAGGTTATCTTAGCTTGTACAATAACCCTAAAGTTAATCAAACACATAAAAGCCTTGTGGCATCCTTATCTTAAACTCTTAAGGCTGTTCATTCCTGATTGTGGTGGAGCATCTCTCGAGCAGGCCCATAGAGGCCCATAAAGAACCTTGACTTTGATATTACTCTGTCACGAGTTGCGACTATATAAAAAACTTGAAAAGACAAAGAAAACGGTAAAATATTTCCCGTTTAAAACAAAAACATAAAATAAATTTTATTCAAAATAAATTTTATGAGTTTAAATACATTGGCCCCCGTTAATAAAACAACTTAAAACATTAAACAGTTGAATGACTCTATATGGCACTGGCTCCAGATCCACTTCCAACCTCGACCAGCTTCTTGTCGCTTGTTAAAAATATGAGAGAACTAAAATGAGTACAAAGACTCTGTAAGTAGCATACTTGACTGCTCTTAACTTAACTTATCTTCCTTCCTTCCTTTCATACATAACCATCAAACTCAAAAAGTCCAAAAGATTATCCATTATCTCACTTGTAAACCAAATACGACTTAATTTAACCTTTCATTAGAACCAATTAAGCAAATTCTTTTATTCGATTGCTTCCTTCCTCTCAAATTTCACCAACTAATTTTTGTGAACCTTATTCCTTGATTCCAAGAATTCTTCTTTCCAATTGTCTTTTTTTTCAATGTTTTCATACTTTTTATGAAATATGACATCTTATTCCTGGATTCTAACCCTACTTTTTATGAAATATGACATCTTATTCCATAATTCTAATCATTCTTCGACTTCCAATTGGATATTCCAATAAATAGTCCTCCATTTACCACTCAAGTGGATTGTTTTCCTTTTTATATAAGGATATCATCTCATCTAATTCTTCGAGGAAACCATAGACGATTCTAACTTATAACTTTATCTTTCTTCCTTCCTTACATACTTTAAACCAAAATTTGTATCCAAATTTAACTTTCTTCTATCCTTCCATACATAACCATTCAACTTAGAAACTTAAAAAGATTGTCAATTCTCAAAAAGTTGGGACTCCAATCACATACTTAAACACAAAATTCTTGTATCCAAACTTTATCTTCCTTCCCTCCTTACATACATAACCTTCACACTCAAAAAATCCAAAAGATTAGACTAAAAAGCAATTAAACTTTTCTTTAGCACCAATTATTGACTCAACAATTCTTCGCTTTCCAATCATCCTTAATTCAAATTCTTTCATACTTCTTATGACATAATACATCTGATTACAGCCATTCTTCACTTTCCAATGGTCTATTTGAATATGTAACCCCACGTCTACCACTGTACACATAATATTTCCTCCTTTATGTGCATAATACCTAGTGTTATTTTTTCATTTAATTCATCACGGAAACTCATTGACAAATCTAAGAAGTGCCTTCATCCATCATCTTAATGATCCATCCAATTTACAAATCTTTACAACCCCTTTTTCTCATTTTCTGTAAAACAAACCTCCTTGCTTAGTTGCTTGATCATTATCTCAAATTCAAAAAAAATCACAAGAACTCTGTACACAAAAAGGAATTCACCACTTTAGAATAGGCCCTAGTGTTGTATCCTTTGTAAGGAATGACCAAGGATCTAGATCATCTCTCCTATGGTGGAAGAGCTTCTTCTTCATCCACTTACTTGAAATTTTATGGAATCTTTATGTTGAAAGAAACAATAGGAAAGGATTGGAAGATCTTGGGGTGCAGTCTAGCCTTATTAGATCACACTTCTGTATGGGGGAGTGTGTACAACTTCTTGTAATTACCTCTAAATCTTATTTTGTTTGATTGGAGTATCTTTTTAGGTCAATTGGGATCCACTTGGGATATGACACCCGTTTCTTTTAAACTATCCTTAAGGTTTTATTTTGCTTGATTTCAGCACTTTTGTAGGTCAATTGGGTTCCTCTTGGGATGGTTTTCTAGTGTTCCTCTCGTATTCTTTTATTTGATCTTAATGAAAGCTTCCCTTTCATTTTTTTTTTTTTCTTTCTAAAAAAAGGATCTATTCATAACTACCTAAAAAGTTTATAAAACAAAAGAGTAATTTAATTCCTTACTCATGAACCTCTTTCAACTTTAGCATTCATTATAATCCTTTATTGTAGCATGATATCAGAAGCATAAAGAACATCAAAAAAGAAAAACAAAGACATTAAGCATAGGAATCTAACCTTATTAGGATCACAATATTGCCAAAAATGTAATTCCTGCTAGACCCAGACCGGACATATGGAAGTTCATGATGTCAAATAGAAAATTTCTTACATGATGGAGTGTTCAAAGTAGCAACCGGAGTTGGATTCCTTGTAGAATGACCTCAACTTTATTTATCTCCATATATGTCCAGCATTTCCATCTCAAAATTTCCACAACATAGTTACTAACCAAAATCTTCTGCATTAGCAAAGGAAATATGAGCAATAATGATAAACCAATGAGATATGGATAATTTGAAACCTAAAAGTGAACATTGAGCATTTTTTTTAAAGTTTGACCCGTAAATAGAACTGATTCTAGCTTGTTATTCTTAAGAATTGAAGTGTGTGAATAGAATCATCTAAAATAATATTTACATGATCCAAATTTGATAGGCCAATCTATACTCTCGTGCACGGAGTTAAACAAGCACCAAATATCAACTTTGAAAGTTTTGCAATATTTTTGCACCTTGTCATGAAGCAAGCTAGCAAGACAAAAACTTCTAAAGAAACCATAGAAAACATGCTTTCTAGGAATTTTCACATTTGAAATTCACTTCCATCAGAAACGTACATCTTTTTAGACTCTGCATCAAATTCTTTCTTAGACTCTGCCTTTTCCTCTTCAGCTGACCAACTTCTTTCTTCTACCTTTAAAAAAAATGTAATGCAGAGAAAATGTCAAAAAAAAATTAACTCTAAACTTATTAAAAAATAAAACGAAGTTCGTCCTTAAATTTGCAGGGTTAATTCACACATTGAAAACATAAAACACTGAGAACTGAATGTTGTTCAAATCGATAAAACGTTTGAATAGGGAAGAATCTACATATATGTCACAATTGATAACTTAATCAGAGGATGCTATCAATTGGAATGCCTTCTTATATCCTTTCTAGCTTCTTTTGACCACTGGATCATTTTATTTTGTTCACTTCAATTATTTTTTAACCCCTAAATAAGAATAACCTATGAAGTTTTCAAGTGAACCCCCAAATCTGAACAGCCGGCTGTACCCTTAAAATTTCAAATCCAGAAGAGCGACCAAACTACGCATAAAATTAAAAGGCTGAAATTAAATTTTAAGGCAATCGGAGGAAGAGAGAGCAGAATCATCACTACACCATTAAAATTTCCAATCCAGAACAGCGACCAAACCACCATAAAACTTAGGCAGAATGAAGGTAGTTTACCTCTATTGTTCATCATCGAGACGAGGCGAGAAACTTCTTTCAATTCTGCTCTCTCATCCTCCGATTGTCTGGTAACAATCTAGCGTTTGGTTTCAGCAGCGAACACTCAAAAGGGAAGAGGCCGTTGATGGAGCGCTCTGATTCTAATGTGAGAATGTGCTGAAGAAGAGAGTGTGAGTATGAGTGTGAGTACGGGAGATATACGTAAGTCCGAGTGAAACACGCGCAGGTCGAGACAGCTGGCATCCGGGAATGGCGGGTAACGGCTCTGAAGACCGTTATGACTTTGACCCTGGAAAACCGTCGACGATATGAACGTTTGAAGCTAACAAAACCCTTGTCGCCGGAGAAAACAAAAGAGAGAAAAAATGGATACCAATGACGTGGCTCTCATTTCTAACCTTTTTTTATTAATATTATTATCATTCTTTCTAATTTCTTTTAATGTATTAATTAGTTATTGATCGCTATAATCAATAATTTGTAGATATTAATAAGGGCGGTTGTGTCGATTTAGTTGACTCTATGTTTAGGGTGGACGATTGAGTATTTTTTTTTTAAGTTCATCAATTTAGCAAAGCATCATGGATTTAGCTCGATGTCAAGATGATGATAGTAATAATGAATAAGAGAAAGAACGCTAACTCTTAATATTGCTATCAATATGGATTTAGTTCACGTCGTGGTTCATGTAAACGTGCCCAAAATCATAGATAAAAAGTTAATTTAGTTCAAAATCTTCTCTTCCAACTCTATGTTCGAGTTTTAGGTTAAAAATAAAATTTTTAAAATTTTATAAATACAATTTAAAATCGGTAAGTGTATTTTGTATAATTTATTTATTTATTTTTTTTTTTCAAGCTCAACTAGAGGTTGGAGAATTTTTTTATCTTTTGGTCGGTAGTAAGATAGTAAATGTAGTTAAGCTAGACTCGCTTTTAGCATATTATTTAACATTTTTCTGTTTGGTAAATTATAAAATGTTTAAATTAAATTAAGAAAAAACAATTTAGTGTTAATATGGGAGGAAAAGTATTAATATTTTATTAAAATAATGTGCTTAAAAAATATCCATAAAATTTAACTGTAACGTTTTTAATCTTTATAAAAAAATATTTTTTTTAATGGACAAAAAATATCTTTCTACTCCTTATAAATTATTTAACTTTTTAATGTTAATTTTGAGAGCTCGTTAAGGTATAAATTAAAGATTATTATTATTATTATTATTATTTTTGGTGGTTTTCAAAAAGTTTAAACATGTCTTTTAAATTTAAAAAAAAAGTTTAAGATATTTTTTTAGTTATAGTATTTTTTAGATTTTTTTTTTTTTAAAAGACATGGATATTATTGAATATTTTTTTAGATAAAATAAATATATATTTTTTTTATTAATTTTGGGAAAATGTTTATCACAGTGTGACCTAAATAAAATAAGCGATTTGAGAGGGAAAAGAAAAACGAGGGGAGAAAAAACCGCGCTAGAAATGAAATGCACGAAACAAGAAACCGACTAAAATCCACGTCCAAAAACCCTAGCAAAGATCCACGGCTTCTGAATCTGAATCCCGACCTTCGCAATTGACAATTCATTCTGCTCGTTTCGTTTCATCGCACAATTCCTTTGTAATTGTGTCTAGCAATCACCATGTCCGGCAGTCGAGCTAGAAACTTTCGCCGCCGGGCCGACGACAATGACGACGACGACGAACCCAATGGCGCCGCCGCCCCCTCAACTGGTGTTTCAAACGCCTCATCAAAACCCGCTTCCACCTCCTCCACCGTCGCCAATAAACCCAAGAAGGCTAATCCTCAGGTACCCAAGCTTCTCAGCTTCGCCAGTGACGAAGAGAACGATGCCCCACTTCGCACTTCTTCGAAACCAGCCAATTCCAAGAAGCCTTCGTCTGCTCGACTTGCTAAGCCTTCCTCCACCCACAAGATCACTGCCTTGAAGGATCGCATCGCTCACTCTTCTTCAACGTCCGCTTCTGTTCCCTCCAATGTGCAACCTCAGGCTGGAATTTATACCGAGGAGGCCCTCCGCGAGTTGCAGAAGAATACTCGCACGCTTGCGAGTTCGAGAGCCTCATCCGAGTCTAAGCCTTCCGCCGAACCTGTTATTGTCCTAAAGGGTCTTCTCAAGCCTGTCGAACAAATTTCGGACAGTGCTAAAGAAGGTAAAGAGTCGAGCTCCGAAGATGAAGAAGGGGGTAGTAATGAAAAGAGCGCTGGTTCGTTTCGGAGGAGTAAAGAAGATGCCTTAGCTCGAATGGCTTCAATGGGGATTGGCAGAGGAAAGGATTCAACTGGGTCAATTCCCGATCAAGCAACCATTAATGCAATTCGCGCCAAAAGGGAACGTATGCGACAGGCTGGGGTTGCAGCTCCGGATTATATATCGTTAGATGCAGGAAGCAACCGCACTGCACCCGGGGAGTTGAGTGATGAAGAGACAGAGTTTCCAGGGAGAATCGCCATGATTGGAGGGAAGTCAGCGAGCTCGAAGAAGGGCGTGTTTGAGGAATTTGACGAGCAGGCTATTGATGGGGTAAGAACGAATATTATTGAGCACAGTGATGAGGACGAGGAGGAGAAAATATGGGAGGCGGAGCAGTTTAGGAAGGGACTGGGTAAGAGAATGGATGATGGTTCTACTAGGGTGGAGAGCTCAAGTGTCCCTCTCATTCCGAGTGTTCTGCAGCAAAACTTAATTTACCCCACTACAGCTGGGTACAATTCGGTGCCTAGCATATCTACAGCTACAAGTATCGGAGGTTCTGTTGGTGTTTCACAGGGTTTGGATGGGCTATCAATATCTCAGCAAGCTGAGATTGCTAAAAAAGCTATGCGAGATAATATGGGGAGGCTTAAGGTATGCATATTTTCCCCTCATTTCAGTCTTGTGCTATAGAGGTATAAACGTGAAACTTACAGGAGATTCTAGGAATATGTTAAATGATATTTCAGTTAATAGGGCTTTCAGTATCTTAGTTTATATTAATATACATGCCATAGTGTTACTTGGAATCTAGTTTGCTATGAATAGCGTATCTCCAAAATAATGTGTTATCATGAAGTGCATATTGATTAACGTTGCTTGTGGCTATGAATCTCTGTGTATGCATGACCTCCATTCTCTTTAATACTCAGGAATCCTATCGAAGAACTGCAGCATCTGTGTTGAAGACCGACGAAAACTTGTCTGCATCTCTTTTGAATATCACAGCCCTTGAAAAGTCTCTTTCTGCTGCAGGCGAGAAGTTTATATTTATGCAAAAGCTTCGTGACTTCGTTTCTGTTATCTGTGACTTTTTGCAGGTACAGATATCCTATCTTACGTCCTACATGTTTTTATGGAAATTGAAATTTGATTGTCATGCATGTTTGACTAGAACTAGAGAGCCAGATTACATTCGGTTGTTTAGTACATGTTAGCTAAAAAGTGTTAGAAACATGTAGCAACTATATGATGATTGGTTTATTTCAAACTTAATATACGACAAGCTAGATAAAGCCTTGTTCTCTTTTAATTTCTAATTTTCACAAATAACTTGATGCTTCCTATGGACATATAAAGTAGTCCTTCTATGGCTACAGTTAACCGCAGCTTTCGCTCTTTTCTGTTTCTGAAGGTGAAATTAGAACAATTATTGTATGTCATGGACACGTTAGATGGACAAGTCTCAACAGAATTGGCTATTTCACCTTTGCCTGTTGTATCTTTTTATGAGCTATATATATGGCCAAGCAATAAAAAGCTTGTTATGTTACGAATATAGACAATGTTACCATACTTGTAAGATATGAGTTTCTGAATAGTCTGCCACAGAAAAGAGAAACAAGAACTATAGGACGGAGTAGAAATTAAATAGCAGTCATGCTTTGAAGATGCCATGTATATATGGTTTTCGAAGTGTTATTACCCTTTGATACTTCCTCTCCCATAGATCTTTCATTTGGATATCTAGCTTACAGTTTGGGCTATTGTTAGAGACTGTAGGGCTTGGTTGGAGGAGGTGCTTTTGAATTCTTCCTTGAAGGAGAAGGGCAGGGTTTAGTGGCAGTCTAGCTTCTTTGCAATGTTGTGCGACATTTTGATTGAAAGGAATAATATTATTTTTAGAGAGGTTGAAAGATATGATGTGAAAGTTTTGGAGGTGGCTAGGTTTAATGCCTCCTTTGGGACGTCAGCCGCACGGCTTTTTATAATTATGAGTGTAGTGTTGTTCTTTTGGATTGAAATCCTTTTTTTTATAATTAGGGCCAAACTCCTTTTTTGTTCGGGCTTATTTTTCATATGCTATTGTCTATACTTTCATTTTTCTTGCCTGGTTTCTTATGGAAAGGGGGCTATTGCGTTG